TATCTTATCTTATCTTATCTTATCTTATCTTATCTTATCTTATCTTATCTTATCTTATCTTATCAGAGCTAATCAACCAAATAAATCTGAAGCTCCTATGTTTAATAGTTTTTGAGCAATAACCATATCCCTTTTTCAGATAAATTGGGGGTCTGTGGGGGGGCACTGATTGGTGGGCCTGATGGATAGAGCTTCATCAGAGCTAAACAACAAAAGAAATCTGAAACTCCTATGTTGAACAGTTTCTGAGTTATAAGCATTTTGCATGTCCAGACACCCCCAATTTGAAAGGAGCCCCCTCCTCAAATATGGGGTCTATTGTAAAACCGTTGGCTGGCGCAGTGTAGGTCAGACTCATCTACAGTCCTGCCAAATTTCATGTTGATTGGTGCAGCCGTTTTTGTGCTACGGTTGACCAAAAATCACTGAAAAAGAAAGAAATAAAAAAAATGAACAGAACGAAAACAATATGGCTCCCGCTTACGCTTCGTGTGCGGGGGTCATAATAAACATGAGAAACACATTGGAAACCCTTTTGTATTATTCTCAACATGTTTATGTACTCATATGGTCACATAATTTATAAATACTGATATACTCAACTTTCATTCATTGTGTGAGTATTTTTCTATTCTACAAGATGTGTGTCGGGGTGGTGGGTCTGACAGGACCTTCCTGTGAACTCTTACTTTTAGCTGCTACATTGCATTGCCTTCTTTCAAAAGAAACGAACAGATTTTCAGAATTACTGTTTAGGTTGCGYATTTTTGACTGTATGGTTTTCCTTCCATTGGAGGAAAAATGACCAACCAGCTGAATATTGTTACATATTAGTAGTTTGTTCAGAGTTGTAGCAAGGTTAAGACAGACTRTATCACCATCTGTTCAAAATACTTATCTGTATCTGCTGAGTCTGGTCAGCATCCAGGTGTTAGAGGCCACAATTTTTGCATTATTTCTTTAGTAGCGTTGTGACTCACCTTCTTATTCTCAGCTGCTCCACTCTTGGTGTTTGTGCATTTGTAAATAAAAATCAAGTCCACTCAAGAAAAAAGGTCCACTCGAAAGCAAAAACCCCAGTTTTAGAAATAAAAACCATTTTAAAGACCGATTTGCTCTTTATTTTTTTGTTGTGAGTTTGACAGTTCCCTCTCTCTTTTGATCACAGGCTGCTTTGTTGTTCGGTGAAGAATACAAGTGAGATAGACGAGTTATGTAAGAAGCTGTGTTTTTTGACTGAAAGAAAGCGACAAAATAAATTTCAAAAGTAGGGCAAAAACCACCAAACTGTTTTATTAACTGTGAATTAGACGTAACAAAACTGGGCTGGGAGAAAAACAGATAAAAGCTTATATAACGCTCGCTGGTGGCACAAAAAAATTCTCTTTCATTAAAAAGTTAGAGTTTCGAATTAAAACTGTTTACCAGAGTACTAATTCATTAAACATTGTGCTCTTAACTTACTCTCTTTCTTTATTTTAATTTTCATACCCTCCACATTTCTGTCTCATCTCGTTTTTGCTCCGCTGTCCTGGTCTCACCTTATTTTTTGTGCTGCTTTCAGTTTTTCTGCCTCACTTCCACCTTTCTATCCTTTATCATGTCTTAAAAAGGCTTCACGTTTTAACTGCTCAATGGTCCTTTTACTGTACCCATGCCACAGTGTTTGTTGTTGTTTTCTGCAGACCCTGTGGTGCTGGGCAGAGCGTAATGGCTCAGACGCTGCAGATGGCAATCCCTAACTTTGGCAACAACGTCCTGGAGTGCCTGAACGAGCAGCGGCTGCAGGGCCTCTACTGTGATGTGTCTGTGATTGTCAAGGGACATGCCTTTAAGGTAAGATCAGTACAGGGTCAGGGTTGTGGGACTGCAACCTGGACCAAAGCGTCCAACTTCCATGCACAGAGTGAGCGTTCAACCAGTTTAAGCACCTGACGTCCCAATGTTCAATAATTTTGGCTTTCCGTGTTTCTGCAATTGCTGCAAAACAAGAAAGAAGATTTATTTGAAGCCTGGTACATTATTATTTCAGAAATAAATGACTGTTTTCTGCATCCCCAGAAAAACTCAAAATGAATTTCTGTGTTTGCTGCTTCAGAACAAAATCTTCTGTTGAGCATAGTAATCATTTGCCACAATATTCTTGTTGGATTGTGTTTTCAGACAGTGCAAATACTGGATTATTTGACATATTAAATTCACAGGCAAAAGTAGCATTTCATAAAATGCGTCTTGGCATGTGTACTTTGCTTGGCCAAAAATGTAATTGCTATTAACTGAAATCCTCCTATTGAAAATGTATTGAGTTTATGGTTTTCTTTTTCACCTTGTAACAAGTTATTTACTGATGGAGTTAAAGCAAAATAACAGGAGTTTTCTGATTCCTTATACAATCATGTTGGAAGGCACATCGTTTTGTTGAAAAGATGGCAACACTATTTTGGGGTGGTCAACTGATTAGTCTGGCAGGGTTGCCAGATAGGAAATGAACTGTTGCCCAAACACTTTCTGTATTTTGATCCAAACTATGAAATGTGCTGAGTGAGGTGCGTTTCTCTGAGGTGGGAAGTTGTAAGATAAGGTGTGTGATGTGCATGTGCACGGAAAAGGGGGGGAGGTGGCTAATAAGGGTAATTATTGACATATCTGGCAACACTGAGGCTGATCTTCATCAAGAAGCATGCAGTCTGGAGCACGAGAAACAAATCAGTTACATCTAAAATAGGATTGGGCATAATCTTATCGTGTGCGATTAATCGTCAGAAAAACAGTAATCGATTATTTTTTGGCACTTGACAATTAATGCAATTAATGCCACGAGGCAGACAGTCAGTCCGCTCGGTGCTCCTCTCTGCTTCAAATATGACAAACATAAAAAAAGTTCTGTAATTTATTTATCTATCAATACAATTTAAAATTTGATGTATAGCCTGAAGTCTGTAATTTTGACAAAATTTGGAACAGATTTTTACGAAGAGCATATCTTTCGCACTAAATTGGTCATGTGACTGGAACATAAAGGTGTCCAGGCACTTCAGGGGATTAATCATCAAATTAATCATTATCGGCTAAATACCACAATTAATCGTGATTAATTTTTTTTGCCAATATTGCCCAACCCTAATCTAAAATGGTGAAAACAGAAACCTTTGTTTGGATCACTGTTGGTTCCCAGGACTCCCAGGAGTCTGCGAGCTGTAGCCTCGGGGGTCTCTAAAAAATTACAATAAGTTGTTGATTTTTGGTTTTATTTTTAGCATTGTATGTCAGGGTTCCCACGGGTCCTTGAAATCCTTGAAAGTTTGTGAATTAAAAAAGATTTCAAGGCCCTGGAAAGTTTGTGAAAACAGCCAAAAATTACACTTGTCCTTGAAAGTCCTTGAATCTTTTGGGGATTGAAGTTCTCTATTCACATGACCAATTTTCATCCTCCAAAAAAAATAAAAACAAAAAACCTTACATTTGTTGCAGTGAGTAACTCAGGATTACAGTAAACTGACATTGCTTTTAACAAATAATGTGAGCCATATTCATAGTTTTACCCAATCAGAGCAGAGTAGGGCGGGTCGTTCTTTCTGAGCCCAGGTGAAGCACCACAGCTCCTCCTATCCWCACCGAGGGTCTGGACATGTTCACATCCCCTCCTCCCAAACTGAGCTGCTGAACCTCCCAGGACATAATTACATGTCCATGTAATGTAGATATGAATGTAGGGTAAACATTTAATCCACTTTCTTTCATTGATTCTGACTCAACAACTTTGTTGTTCAGTTTTTCATTGAATTTACACAATATTACATGATGTGTTGACCAAGGTGTGGGAAACCTGGTATGTGGAACAGTGTACAAGTAAAACAAACATACTAAACTAAATCAAAAAGAAAATATAAGTAGGTCCTCTGGATGGGTTCTTCTTTAGTGAAACGTTTCGTCTCTCCTCCAAAACGTTTCACTAACGAAGAACCCATCCAGAAGACCTACTTATTTTTTTCTTTTTGATTTTATCTACCTGGATTAGTGARATGCATCAGGACATACTAAACTAAACAAAAAATACTCACTAATCACATGGCATTTAGGGGTTAAAATGGCAGTAAATTATTTTTAAATCAGCATGAGTTTTATGAGAGAGTCCCTGGAAATGTTCACGTTTGTAAGGGGTCCCCATAACCAAAACATTTGAGAACCCCCTGAATGGCTGAACTGCAACAGAAATGTTACATCTTCACTGAAAACCACCTGCGTGAMAACGGCCCCTTTAGAATTGCTAGTGAGCATAATGATTGGACTCTGCAGTGAAGGGTCATTTTGTTTTATGAGTTTATAATTAATTCATCCTAGAGCAATTGGCACATCAGGGTGGAGAAGTAACGCACCCATCGAGCCACGTGTGCACCTGAAGAACCAACAGGGGGATGTGTCGTGACCTGAGGCTGCTTCTGTTGGTGCGACCTAGCTTCAGTAGATTTATGGGCCCAAAAACAAAGTCAGCTGACTTTCTAAAGCCTGAATGAGATTATACAGCTGCTGGTATCAGTGTCAGATCTTATTCAAGTGTATTAAACTCAGATGGGAAAAAATGACTCATGAAGTTAATGTAACAAGAAATTACAAAAAACAAGTTATTTTCTCATGTTGATAACATAAACATGTTGAAAATGTTCCAAATTCACACAAGTTACACAAATTATCACCATTATTATTAGGTTTTCACATGTCTAATGTTCTACACTTTTTGTTTATTTCATTAGAATCATTGAGTTTTTTTTTTTCTTTTTCTTAAACTCAGTTAATGACTTTTTACCCTCAGGCCCATCGTGCAGTGCTGGCAGCCAGCAGCTCCTACTTCCGGGATCTGTTCAATGCCGTGGGGAAGAGCTCTGTGGTGGAGCTCCCTCCGGCTGTGCAGCCACAGAGCTTCCAGCAGATTCTGGCCTTCTGCTACACAGGACGCCTCAGCATGAACGTTGGAGACCAGTTTCTGCTCATGTACACTGCTGGATTCCTCCAGATCCAACAGATCATGGAGAAAGGCACAGAGTTTTTCCTCAAGGTAACCTGATAACGATACAGTGATTAGTGATTTAAAAATCCAATACAGGACAACACATTTTCATAAATATGTAAGTTATGCACACGGTTAATTGTATGTTGTAATGTTCCCATGTATGATGACTTGGCGGGACGTCATGTAGTCTTTATGACTCAAAAATAATTGAAACATAGCGACACTACCGGTTCCATCTATAGCTGTGCATGATCTGATTAGGTTTGGAGTGCTTTACTGAATTAATCTGCATATTAATGAATGGAAAACAATTTTCATCAGAGTTCCTCTTTGCTCCTCTAAATGCAGATTTCATGTTAGGTTTAAATTGAAATATATTGTAAAAAGTGTATCTTTGCTCTAGACACATTAAATTATGTTTTTTTTTCCTGATAAATGCTTTATGTATCAAAGATCAAATATTATTGCTAAGCAATGAAGATTGCAGTCACAGTTTTAAAAAAATCACTAGACTATTTGGTGGCACGGTGGCTCAGTTGGTAGAGCTGATGCCTCTCAGCAAGAAGGTCACCGGTTCAAATCCCGGTCCGGGGACCTTTCTGGGTAGAGTTTGCATGTTCTCTCCGTGCATGCGTGGGTTCTCTCCGGGTACTCCGGCTTCCTCCCACAGACCAAAAACATGAC